AATCCCTACATAGTCCCTATATACCATATTCCCATATTCCCTCCTCAGCCCCAGAAAGATGATAAGCAATGTCATCAATGAACTTGTCGAGCAGGAATTTCATACGTTTATAGCCAGGGGTGAGGCCCACATGAGCTGTAGTCTAAGCTCCTAGGATTCCCCTTTATAAGCTTTATAGTCGTCCCGTATATAATCCCCAAATAACCCCCTCTGAGTTTAGACTATGGCTGACAGATCTTAGAACCCTTGCTCCCGTGTCCTCGCCAGCTCCTCTGGAACCCCAAACCCTAAACCCTAAACCCTAAACCTTAACCCGTCTCTCGATGGACTTGGGGTCTCCGGTTGTGCTTGGAGGCTGCTTGCAGCAGTTTTTGACAAGAAGATCTGCACGACTCAAAGCCCTGAAGGGGAGGTGCCCTTTCCCTAGGCAACATGTACTAGTACTAACAAGGGTTTAGGGTTTGGGGTTTAGGGTTTAGGGACCATTAGAAGGGACCCTCATATACCCTGTATACAATTCTTTTCCACCTAGGTGGCCCCCACGTTACCCTCCATAAGCTACCAGGATCTCCAATTAGGGCCCCGCCTACTAAAGCTGCCGGACATGTACCCAGCGCTGACTAAGAGTGGGCTACCGGGAACGCTGTTACCCAAAACCACTTATCCACAAATGGGGAAAATGATGCAGAGACCTATATTATTGCGGCGACCTAGCTGTTTGACCAGCATCATGCCTCATATTTGTGGAGGACCCTAAATCTAATCCTTAAACCTGATCCCCAAAATAAGAATCTGTGGAATCCTCATTAGGGTTTTGGGGTTAGGGTTTAGGGTTTAGGGTTGGTGTTTCCCTGCCTTGCTGTCGTCCCGATGGCAACTCAAGTATGCTCTCCAGTCGGGAGCACGGGCGCGAAGACCTCGGCGCAAAACCGGGATTTAAAAAAGCTTCAGGCTTAGGACTATACCCTAAACCCTAAAAACCTAAACCCTAAAGCCCTAAACCCTAAAGCCTAAACCCCCCAACCCTAAAACCCTAGACCCTAACTACAGGCGCCATAGTCTCCAAGCATGGCTATCCATCCTTTGGCTATCGCTGCACGGAATTAAGTCTCGGACATGATTCTCCCTGGTGCTTAGGAGGCAATGGGGGAATGGGTTATAGGGACTATTGTTAGGGATTATAAAGCAACTACTATAGGGATCCATTCCCCTGTTCCCTCCTAGGAGCACCAGGGAGATAATTACCCGTTCGAGCCCGTTACAGAGGTCAACGCTTGCCAAAACCATGGGCAAGAGGCATTCAACATACCGTAGCCCATACCCCTGAACCTTAAAGGGACCCAAAAGGAGAACCACAGGGGTGCTGTAGAGTACTGCTCAACTTCCGGCACGCATACGTCCCTGGGCTATACTGAATGTTGTTTAGAAGGAGCCCACCCAACCCTAAACCCCCTAAACCCTAAACCCTGAACCCTAAACCCCTCAACCCTAAACCCTAAACCCCTAAACCTCTAAACCCCTAAACCCTAAACCCCTCAACCCTAAACCCCCTCTCAAGCAAACATCCAGCCCACATCATGTCTCAAAATAGCCCCTCCAGAATGCAAGTCAAGTTGTCGGAGCCTGTGCACATTTATATTTCTACATAGATCTCTACAAGGTCCCTATCAATTAGGTTATGTGAATTATGTATATGTATATATGTATATATGCATATAGTATATCTCGGATCGTCTGAACTCCTAGTATTCCCTATAAACAACCCCTATAGTAGTCCCGTATATAATCATAATCCTCTATATAACCCCCTTTAAGCAGTTTAGACTCGCGCTCGTTGGATTGTCAGGATGGATGGCCTTAGGAACCTTTGGACCCTTGAATAACTATGATAGTTTCCCTAGATGAGAGCCCAATATAGGCTCCCCCAAGATACTATCATCCTTGTCATGGGGAGCCCCCACAAAGTCACCCCTATTTCTGGGAAACTCCCTTATTGTTTGGCACACTCATGGACCTTGATGGGACGCTCCATTATGCAGCAATAATCTTACATTGCTGGTCCATGAAGTACCCTGAAATCGAGAACCTGTATTTCTCCATGTGCTCTTACTAGCTCGGGTCTGCGCGAACTGCAATCAGCAGCCACGGCACACGACAGCCGGCACAGAATATCCGCTAAATGCGGAATGAAACTATGCATGCATTCCTAGACCCCCCATGTACCTGCCATAGACCCTGAGTATCCCCAAACAATAAAGCTACATAGACCCCATTTTAGAGTACTTGGGAGGTCTAGGTACATGCATGTCTAGGAGCAGGGTTTGCTCTTTAATGCAGGCTGAGACCTTTTTGGATCACTGGACCTGTGCGAAGTCACTTGGATGGGAGGTATAGGGTATAGGGTGTAGTGTTTTGCGATAATGGAAAATACAATGGAAACTATTATAATGAGTTGTATAAGGTAGATATGTCACTTGGATGATTGTATCACTTCTGTCAAGAGGCCTTCGGTATCTCATGGGTCTGCACCCTGCGCGAGCGCGCAAGAAGAAGCTTGCAGCAAAAGTCCTAACCCTGGAGATCCAAATAGCCCAATGTAGGTAACATTTACAGACTTTGCGGCCCAAAGTAGGTAACATTGTAAGGGCCCAAGAGGGGTAACATTTGCAGACTCTAGGGCCCAAAGTAAGTAACATTTACAGACTTTAGGGCCCAAAGTAGGTACAGACTTTAGGGCCCAAAGTAGGTAATATTTACAGACTTTGGGGCCCAAAGTAGGCAATATTTGTATACGTGGATCCCCAGGGTAAGAGACGGCTGAAGGCCAGGTCAGGAACAGCGAATGTACTCGAGAACTCGCCTGCAAAATGGGGAGCCTATAGGTGAGCCCTGTGAATATAGGGTTTAGGGTTTAGGGTTTGGGGTTTCCAAAGGGACCTCGGTCATAAATATGCGTATGTAGGGTTTTATTGGGGTTATATAGGGATAATGGAAAAATGGAAACTACTATAGTATATTGTGGTTGTATCTATCTAGGCTACCCAGAAGGGCTTAAGGTTTGGAATCCGGCTGTTGGGATTAAGGCCTACGTGGAAACTCGTAAGCAAATACAAGTAATACGGTCAAGGGTCTACCTGTGTAATGCCCTCCAGAATACTTGAACCAAGCGAAATTGTAGAGTGCCAATGATGCGCGTATGTCGAACTATAATCCGTACGGCTATGGAAAACTCTGCTCAAAAGGTTCCTAAATAGTTGGGAACAATACTGTTGAACGTGGTCATTTTGAATCTATATTGGGCCCAGGTATGCATAAAATTGTAAAACGTTGCTCAACAAGATTCCAGAAGTACTGTAACTTATTTCACAGACTTTCTTGTCCCACCTAAACCCTAAATCCTTAATCCTCCTTAACCCTAAACCCTAAACCCAACACCCTATACCGAACTTCCCGAACTACCCACGAGCCTCCGACAAGATGGGACAGTCAACTTACCAAATGAGCAATATACATTCGGTGGACCCTAAAGGTTACAAGGGTTAGGGATAATGGTATGAAGGAATATGAGAGGACCCTAGCATAATGACATGTGTCCTTTTTATAGTCGCTGCTACTGGGTTGGGGGCCACCGAAATTATGCACAGCTGGGCGCAAATTGTCTGCTCTCATTATGTGGTGTGACAACTACTTGGAAATGACAATTTCATACTTGACAGATGGCTATTGCTACCATCTCGAGGGCATCGCTGGGGATGTGCCTTTCACGGCACTCTCAGGACGGCCCCAGGCCTGTCTGAAGAATATTGACCTGCAACGCTGGGCCCCACCCTGCCATTCGCACCATTCGGAGCTTGATCGATTTTTTCCTAAATACTGGAACCTTGTGTCGTGACGCGAGGCATGCATGCGCGTGTGCATAAATATGTACATGTATTCCTGCGCATATATGTACATACATGTTTCTCTATATATATATATACGTATATATATATATCTATATCTATATCTATATATGTATATGTATATGTAACTGTATAGAGGTACAGACCGCAACAGCCTAGACATGCAGGAGCCAAAGCCCAAAAAACACAAACTGACCATACGAGGCTAAGGTTAAGGAAGGTAATGTAGGGGCCTATTGAACTTGAGGGGTCTATTATACTATTCCATGCGAGCATTCTGACGGGCCACTGTTGGTAAAGAACCAGGCTCTTACTCCAAACCCTAATCCCTAAACACTAAACCCTAAACTGCGTGGTATGCCTTCAGGGCTTGAGGCTTAAGAAGGCATCATGACTACCTAGACCCCAAAAGTAATTATGTAGAATAATGTGGTTTAGGGTCAGGGTTTATGTAAGGTTATTTTACCTACTTCTGGGGTCTGGGTATGTGTGTGTTTCCTTAACAGGTATATTTGTAACCAAGACTTTTATGTATAAGAATGACTAGAAGCGGGGTCTTACCTGGTTCATCCTGGTTCTCGCTTGAGTGTTCCTACGCTCTGGTGTCTTTCGGGATTAGGGCTTGATGCGAAAACAATTCTCACTTCTGGGTGGAGCCAGTTTTCACTGTACTAAAAGGAGAAGAAAGCAAAACCACATGTATTCAGACCCTGGGGAAGTTCCAAAAAAATGTAGAACCTAGAATATGGCACCGCGCTTCATATTGTTTCTTGGGTTTACTTTCTGGATTCCCCTCAGGTCTGAGTAGGGCAAAACTTTGCAGAAAGCAAATGCCCCCCCAGCCGAGCACAAATACCCTCTGGGAAAGGCGCTCAGGGCGGTGGCATTTGCTCAGAACTGCTGCCTTCTGCCTCATGCAGCTCCCAGCCATGTGGTTGATGCAGAAAACGGTTTAGGGTGTAGGGTTTAGGGTTGGGTTGCTTGATACCCCGAAACCCTGCATGACCCGAAGCAATCCATACACTGGGAAGCAGGTCATTCAAGTAGGCTTCCAATGCATGTGATATCTATCGCTTACGGCATCACAGTAGCACTGGGCTACGGACTGACCTCCCAGACTGCAAGCTGCTGGCGAAGGTCTTCCATCGTGTCTACCAAACGAGCAAGAAGATGATCGCCAGGCTGACTTGTAGACTGATGCGTCAGCAAGCCAATCAAAGTGGCAAAGTTCATCCTCGAAAGGGTCTTGCGCAAGTTACGGAGTTCTCGAGAGGAAACGAATTCTGGTAGAGGCGTTGCACTGCTCGACTCCTCCATGATGTTGAGAATCTCGGCTGCTTCTTTGGAAAAGTCGCAGCGCTCGGCCCTGGTCCGGCACAACGGAAGGAGAAGTGTCAGCAGCTGAGACTGGCTGAACTGCTGAACCATGATGCGCTGCTTCCTGGATCAAATTGATTTACCAGAAAAGTGCTATATAACAAATAGCTGGCCTTCCTAGCTTCGGTAACTTATCTTAAACTCTTGAACAGGAGCCAAGCTTCTTGTCAAGCTTTGGCATCTTCTCCGTATGCGGAAGGTGGCAGTAAGCACAATCGTCTGAACTTGAACAATGGCCGGAGATGAAGTAAATGCAGGGACGACGGCATGCCTCCGGGTGGCCCAAGCTGCCAGCACTTGGTACTGCTGGCAAGAAGCTCGGAAGGACACTTGCGGGCTCCACTGAATTTTCGGAAGGAGCAGCAGAGGTGTCTAAGTCTTTCCGAAAGAAAAGAGCAGACTTGGCGAGGTTAGACACGTAGGTTCTCATGGCATCTTCCTCCTGTTCAGTCTCCATCGTGAAGCTGACGCGGCGAGTACGCCCAGGTGGCGAGCTATGACCTCGAACCTTGCTGCTCGTCTCCACTTCTTCAGCCTCCTCCTTGATGTCTATGAAGGTATTACGGTACTCAAGCTCCAGGGACATTCGGCTACTGGCTCGTGACTCGAAAAAACCTTCAGCTGACTGCTAGCAAAAATTCAAGCCAAAATGGCTGAAAGCCGGACTTACCCGTAAATAGCCAACAAGACAACAAGGGAACAAAGGAAGTCATCAAAAAAGTGCCTCGGAACTGGGGCTTATTGAATCCAGCTACCATTATGAAGAAACTATGATTTCGCCATATACCCATGCCGGTCTATCTTAACCATATTACGGTCACCGAACTCACAACGTCGATTCAACAGCAACAGCCCATGTAAGGGAAGGCAATTATGGAAACTATATTCAACGTCCATGGAAGCAACCCACAACATGGGATACGGAATTGGCGACGGCTGATGCCCAGCCGAAGGCTACCCGAAACTCTAAGCCTCTAAACTATAAACCCTAAACCACTGGAAGCAAAGCGATGGGCTCTGAATCCAGCATTGTAGTGGTACTAGTCTTCGCGGTGGCGGGGGCAGTGGTGGTACGTAGTCAGGGTTTCGGGGTTTCGGGTTTGGGATTTAGGGTTTCCGACAGACTCGTGGCCGCTATGCATTTGGGTGTCTGAAGTAGCACTTGGCAACAGCATAAGCAAACTGAACCCTAAACAACAGGTAACCCTACGGGTCCAAGTACCCAATGATCATATACTTGCCCAAAACCTGTACGACAATTACTATTACCCATGTCCCAAGTACCTGATTATTGGGTACTTGGACCCTAAAACCCTAAACCCTATATACCCCTAAATATCCCCTTTAAAGGGACCTAATTATTGGGTACTTAGACCCGTAGGTTCAGTAAGTACGCGGCCCACATCCCTCATCTCCTGGAAAACCCGATCAGCCGCCGCACCTCGGTTTTGGTGCCTACAGTTCAGGGCTTAGGGCTTAAGGCTTAAGGTTTAGGCTTAAGGTTTATAGGGTTTAGGGTTTGGGGTTTAGGGTTTAGGGTGTTGGGTTTGGGGTTTTGGGTTTTGGGTTCAGGGCCTAGGTATGAGGACCTAACCCTAAACCGTAAACCCTGAACCCTAAAGCCTAAAACCTAATCCCTACTGTAGGGATTGTGGCCTGCAGAGCTTATGATCTAGCGCACTGGGATCTAGGGCTTGGGCTCAGAAATGTTCATCTTTTTGCAGGGTCCCAGTTGGTCGTCTGGGGTTAGGGCGCTGGGTTGTTCGGGCGTGAGGGCTGATGAACAGCTATCGCCAAAACTTAAAGCTCGGGGAACCTGTAAAATATTTTTCATCCCTTCTTGGCGACCTCTCATACAAGACTTCTTGGGGACGCAGCTGTGGCCGTGCTGTGCATGCGAAAGCCATGCTCCAAACACAGAGCATTATCTGCCGGATCTTACTGTGCTTCATCAAGGAATAGCTTGTAACAAAAGCGGCTGGCATAGGATGTTGACGTATGGGCCATCCGCAAGAAGGAAACTCCACGCTTCCACCGACCAACATTCCAAAAGCAACACCCCTAAATCCTAAACCCTAAATCCAGTCGGGCATATAATCCCCTCTATAACCCCCATTTAAGGAGTTCAGACTATAGCCCACATAAGCCCTAAACCCTAAACCCCTAAACCCAAAACCCTAAACCCCAAAGCCCTGTACTTAATGAAGCTTTCAGAGCCAGGAGCCGTTGGACCCGCAGGAGATCAGGAGTGCCTGAGCGTTGCGCTGACTTACGGGTTTAGGGTTTTAGGGCTTTAGGGTTTAGGGGAAAGGTGTTAGGGTTTAGGGGTTCAGGGTTTAGGGGTTTAGGGTTTAGGGGTTCAGGGTTTAGGGGTTTAGGGTTTAGGGTTTGTGGGTTTAGGGTTTAATCGCCCAACCCGTAAACATCATCATCGGTAAATGCCCTCAGGATTAGGGATTTTTAGTTAGCGCCCAGCTAATTTCACAGAATCGTGAAACCCTTGCTGTGGTTTCTGCAATAAGCATCTTACTTTGAGAAACTCAACGCTAGCGTCGTGCATTTAACTTGCCACAGCAACCAGAACAGCCAATCTGCTAATACCTGCGGGTGTCATGGAGATGCAAGACTCCATCTGAGGCCTGTGCCCCACATGCCACTGCGTTTTGACGACTTCCATTAATCAGTCAGAATGGTGAATAACCCCCACCCCTCATGAAAAACTACTCAAAAAAGAATGTCGTTGCACATTAGGGGTAATGTACGTTGTTAGGGGGAATAACCATGGTTAGTTGAGTGGGGGCAGGGTAGTACTTACCAGAACATCCATACTTTCTTCCATGCCCTTATACCCCTACATAATAAGCTATAGTCTAAACTCCTAATATCCCCCTGAATAACTCCTATGATACCCCCCCTATATAACCTGCTATATAACCCCTTTAAGGAGTTTAGACCCCAAACCCTGAACCCTATATAGCCCTCTTTTAGGAGTTAGACTATAGCTACGTAACCCCTTTATGGGGAAATTAATCTGCCCTCGCAGTAGTTCTGCTCTGCTGGATGTCTAGTGCTTTAGGGTTTAGGAATTAGGGCCTAGCGTATCTCAGACAGCTTCCTTGTCATGCTAGCTTCAGGGACACCCCAGTAGGGCAGTCACCAGGCGGGTATCTCCATGTAAGCCTCATATACGGCTCGTGCAATGGTAGTGGGCCCAATGAATTCTACATATGGGCCTCGTTTACAGGTACCCGCCTGATAACCACCCACCTGGGAGGCGTCCTTAGTAACTTGGCTGTACGAGTTGAATGAAGTCTCACCCAGTGTCCAGCTAGACCCACATCAGAATGAAAACTTCAACTGTTACCCAACTCTATGCCAATTCCCCCAATATGTAAAACTCTGCAAAACAGCTAAACATGAAGGGCCTGCGACACCCAAAGGGTCCAGGTACATGTATCGTATATACTTGGGAACAAAGGGGTTGCCACAGAGGTAATCGCGGCATGTGGCGGCCTACGTGCATACTGTGTGGGCCAAATCCAAGCCGCGCACGTTGTAGTGCGAGTTCTGGACCCGGCCCTCATGCGCTGCGCCGAACTCATCCAACAACGCACGAGTCTGCAGCGGACTCCAGGCTTTCCGATCCAGGGTTTAGGGTCAGGAAGGTACCCGTAGATCCCTTTTTGGAATCGCAGGGATGCATAAGGTTTAGCTTTCCCAAAAAGTATGGGTACCCTATCTGGCGCTTAGAGACATGTTGGGATTACAAAGGCGCCAACCTCATCAAGGCTCCGAAAGGCCAATGTAGGACTTCAGGGCCCGCTGTAGGTGTCATTTATAAGCGTGCAGCCCAGGGATAGATACCAATTTCAGAGCTCGAAAAATCTGCGTGAATGAGAGGAAGCCGTGTCAGAGCATGCATGATAACATGCTGCATGAAGCTTGATTCAGGCACACTTATGGAATCCAAGTCTGTAAATTATACCTGCATTGGTCTCGAAAGTCTATGGATCGTGCCTACTTTGCTAGGAAATATGGAACTGGAATGCAGACTCCGGACACTTTGGCGATTTAGGCTTCAGAGTTTAGGATCCCAATTAAGGGTGTTCTGAACTACCCTCATAAGGTTTTGGGCTGAGATTTAGGGTTTAGAGTTTAGGGCTTGGGGCTTAGGGTTTAGGGTTCAGGACTTTCCTCGCCTGCTCATGCAGGTTAGCGCGAGCACAGGCCGTCATCGACACGAGATATGCAACTTCCTCAGTAGCTCAGGGAGTGTACACATCCCAAAAAATAAGTCTTATCACACCCCTATGGGAGCGGAGGATTCCTATGATCTCAATATGAAGTTAGATGTACAGATTTATCTCCCCGGGGTCTCCTAGCATGTCCCTGTTTTTAGGAAACCCTCAATGCGGCAGGAAAGCACGACTGCAAAATCACTCAGCAGTGCACTGGGACATGCGCCGGGTATGTGCAGGGTACGCTGGGTACGCGCCGAGTATGTGCCTGGTACGTCAGGTATGCACCGGGTACGCTGAGAATGTGCCAGGTACACCAGGCATGCGCCGGGTACGGGTACGTCGGGTATGCGCTGGGTACGCCGGGGTATCCGCCGGGTATGTGCCATGTATGCGGGGCATATGCCGGGAATGTGCGTCGTACTCGGTCTTACACGCCTGCAGCCGCCGAACGCCAGAATGGAGATTTTCATTGAAGGAGGTAAGGACGAGGCCCAATTTGTGCTCTCGTGAAGCGACACGTCAGACCTCAGTCTCTGCTGAGGTGTAGGGGCTTGGGGCTTCTATAGGATTACCATCTCTAAATCATTTAAAGATTATAGGAGAAGATATATAGGGATGTCGGAGCTTAAGGGTTTGGCGTACATACTCCCGCAAACTAGCATTGTTTAGGATTTACGGCTTAGCATCTGGGTTTAGGGACTGGCGTGGGTTCTGTATTTCTTGGATTGAGGTCTTTGCGTGTTGGTTAGCCCTCCCTCCCAAACTAAGTCTAAACCCTTAACCCTAAACCCTTAACTGCCCAAGCGTCCCACACAGGCTACCGGCCTTGTACAGCGTGGCTACGTGTGGCTCCAAGCCAGTCAGTGAGGCTTTAGGGTTCAGGGTTTGGGGCTTAGCGTTTAAAGTTCAGGGTTCAGGATTCAGGGTTTAAGATTTAGGCTTCAGGGCTTAGGGTGGATTGGGAACCCACTTTTCAATCGAATTGATCATCCTGGTCAGGTTACAAGGTTTGGTCGCTGAAAGGACAGATAGCCCTTTCAGAGCAACGAATTCGTCAAGACACCGCTCAGTAGTTTCCATGAATAGGGGCACCCCAATATGGACCCCCAAATACTATCATTGTTACTATGGGGACCCCCTAAAAAAGGGACCCCTAATTCATGGAAACCCACATTTGGGTTCATTAAGGCGAGATGAGGTCCCCCCCAGCTCAGCTAAAAACCTTCCCCCAAATGTTAGGACGTCTCACGCGTTTAACGGTGATTTTTCACTATATGAACTATAATCTATTTGCCTAGTATCCCCCTTGATAACCCTTATAGTAGCCTCCTATATAATCCCTATT